GGCGCCACGTATTGTTTAAATTAATCACTCGTCCGATTTTTTTCTATAGCAATGACATACTAGTCAAAAGCAGAAAGGCTCCCGCCGCTGCTAGTAAACAGAACATATTTAAGCTTGTGGCTCGGCTCCAGGAAGGTTTATAGCCTTGAAAATACTTCTAACAGCACAGAGTTTACATCATATAAAAGGCGTAATTAAATAGATAGTGATTATTATAGTGTAACGTATAAATCTACATCAGCCTGGGTGTTGCTTTACTTTCGTCTTGGAAGACTCACACGTACTTTTCAGGGTATTTTTAGGAAAAAAAAAAGAGCAAGTGTGGTGGACGGGATTTAGATGACTATAGGCCCATAATTCTGCTAAATACAGAGTTAAAAATTTTGGCCAAGATCCTGACAGAGCGTTTGCAGTCAGTCGCCGAGAGTCTGTGGGGACCCAATCAGACTTGTGTTGTGAAGGACCGAACAATTCAGAACAACCTGTATCTGATCCAAACTCGTGCGGATCAGTCCAAGGTATTTGATAGGGTCGATCATCGGTATCTGGCTGCTGTCCTGCAGGCCACCGGATTCAAACTCTGTAAGTGGATTAGCCTTCTGTATCGTTCCCCCAGTGCTGTGGGACAGGTGAACGAAAAGCTTTTGCGCTGTCTCGGTCGGTACGTCAAGGTTGCCCACTGTGGCCACTACTTTACGCTTTGGCGTTGGAGCCTCTCCTTCGCCATTTGAGGAACAGGGCGTGCTGTCCGGCTCTTCGTGGAATCGCTGTTCCTGGTGGGGCTCGAACCAGAGTTTCCGCGTACGCCGATGACGTATCCATTTTCGTATCCTGCCGCAGCGAAATTGAGGTGGTACAGAAGGCGCTTGAACGATACGAATAGGGGCCAAGATTAACCATAAAAAGTCTTGCGGTTAAGGTATCTGGAAGGGGGTCTCTCTTCCGGGGACCTTGGGTTGGACGGACGGTCCTGTCTGTATTCTTGAAATGTAGTTTTGACCCGATCTCCAGCTGGAGAAAAATTGGTCAGAAGTACAGGCAAAGGTCAGAACGTCGGTCCGGACTTGGCACCGAAGGTGGTTGCCCTTGAAGGGTAGAGCTTTTACCGCTGTGCTGTACTTCCTCTTTGCAAGAACCATGGGAAGGCGATCGAGCGGCCTTGAGGGCTTTTCACATTTCCAGTAACTTTTCACGGCCTAGAAAGTTCTTGCATCGTGAATTAGTGGAGAGGGTTCGGGAAGAACCATCTCTGTGAGCGACTTGGCATGTCACTGGCCGAGTTTCGCTCTTTCTAGTCTTGGGCACCAGCTGCGAATTACCCCAGTAACACTGAGTTTTCGTTTACCTATCGATTGATTTGAAACGTTCTATATCTCAATGACATGGCCTCCAGATGGGGCTGGGTGAGTTTGCCCGAATGTTACCGGTGTGACCTTGGTTTAGAAGAACCGGCTTCGCATGCCTTATACCATTTTCCTCAGGTAAGCTCTTTCTGGGAATATGTCGGCGGATTGACATTTCATATTGCTTCTGATCAACTTGTGCTCATTGATTTCGCATATGTGTCGCCTCCGTATTCTGGTGTGAAACGAATGGTGTTTCTAACGTTGCTATATTTGTAGTAGACGCACCTGGGAAGATATCGCTGAATGTAATTCCGGCGGACAACCCTGAGGGCCACATTAGACATTAGTCTTAGCCAACTCCTGCCACTTTGTATTGCTATCGATGATTGAGTATATTGGCTATTTTTTTCTTAACAAATCTTCTTATGACAGAGTGAAAAGAAATAAGAGCAAAACATCTTGAACCGTTCAATATATTTTTTTTCTCCAACATTCATGGAATATATTCCAATATCTGTAGTGCATATATATATATATATATATATATATATATATATATATATATATATATATATATATATATATATATATATATATAGAAATATAGTCTTAAGATGTGCTATATTTATGGGATAAAAGTGCTCAATATCAGAGATAGAGCGTGTGTAAATATAAAATATAGAAGTCAACAAAGAGCCTCTAAGTTTCTCAAGAGGAAGTGCCATATATATATATATATATATATATATATATATATATATATATATATATATATATATAAGCAAATATATGGATATAGATCCGACAGTATGAAGAAAAATATATACGGAAAAAAAAAAAACAAACAAAAATCCTTATATACAATTTATACTGTTTTAATGTTAATATGTCAACGTCGGACGTTTCGGTCTAATAAACCATCTTCAGGACATATTCATAAATTATATTTGTCATGTTGTATTGATAATGTTATAATTTATGAATATGTCCTGAAGATGGTTTATTAGACCGTAACGTCCGACGTTGACATATTAACATTAAAACAGTATAAAAGGATTTTTGTTTGTTTTTTTCCGTATATATTTTTCTTCATATATATATATATATATATATATATATATATATATATATATATGTGTGTGTGTGTGTGTGTGTGTGTGTGTGTGTGTGTGTGCATAAAGTCCCAAGAGAATAGAATCAATGTCCAGGACAGAGTAACGTTTTTTATTGTGCCTAATGCCAACACAAATGTATTCACACATTTCTGGTGTCTGTTTTTAATTTTAATTTTTGGTCAGCGAATCGGTAGTGAATTATGCATCTGAAAATAATTCCTATTTATCTGTATCTCGCTCATTTAAACCGTTATTTAACTCCTCTCTTTAAAACTTCTCTCTGTTAAATTTCAAAGCCTCACCTTCACCTTTAGGCCTTTCCTTTTCTTCTTTCTTCCGTTACACCTCTCTCTAGAGCTTTTATACATTTCCCTCTCACACTTGTTTCCCACTCCCACACATGCACTCTCATTAAAATTTTGTTTTTATACCCGGAGTTATGTTTCCGATTTCTTTTTGAATTTGTAGTCTTTCTCTTTTTTCTTTCTCTCTTCCCGCCTTTTCTCTTTTAGTTCCCACCTTTCTCTATCACCCACACCTTCAGTTTTCTCTTTCTCTTTTACCATCCTTTCTCTTACTTTCTTCTCACTCTTTCTTTTTCTCTCTCACTATCTGTCTTTCTCTTTCTAACTATCTTCATACCCTTTCTCTGTCTCACTCACTCTTTCTCTTTCTCTCTTCCTGCCTTGTCTCTCTTACTTTTCCATCTTTTTTCTCTCACACAGTTTTTCTCTCTTCCTGCACTTTCACTTTCTCTATTATCACCCTCCTGTTCCCCTCTCTCTCACTCTCTTAGTCATTCTCTATCTTACTCTCTTCCTACCCTTACTATCTTCTCACCCTTTCCCTCTATAATTCAGTCTTTCTCTTTCTCTCTTCCTGTAAATTTGCAAGATTGACTCTGACGAGAAAAAAAAACTTCTGGCACAACAGGGTGACCCAACTTTCCTTGCAGTAGATGCAGCTATTGAATCAATGTAGTCGTTCCACGTCACGTTAGTTGGAAACGTGAGGCCAAGAAGGCGCGGTGTATTGCTTTTCAGGAGTCTACCGTCAGCCATGCTGATGGCAGGCAGAAAGGGTTATCTATGGTGGCACGGGGGAGTAATGGATAACGGCTCGGGTTCGAATGCGAGTCTAATCCATCACATTTACTTATGTGCTGATAAACATTGGAAAAGTATGAATCCTCTTCTTCTCTCCCCCCAAGCTATGGGTAAATAGCAAAACAGACCGGGTTCTATAGTCTTGGATGGCAACTGGTCTACCGCAGAAAGAAATGGCAACCTACTGCGGGAAAAAATCTGCCTCGTCAATTATGTATCGAAAGATACATGATCGCCTACGCGTGTATCACGCATGGCACATAACTGAATGATGGTGGTTAAATGAGAACAGTTAAGTGGTATATACCGTATTGGAGTAGCAAAAGATACATTCTAAAAGCTAAGTAAAGTAACAAGAAACAAGAAAATTTCGTTAGAAAGAAAGGTGTACGGAACTGTTATGTAATATCGATCCTTCCATGCAGTAGGGACTGCTGTATAATCTCCTTATAAATTAATAGAAAACAGGAGGCAACCGAAATGTGGTTCTACAGGAGGATGCTGAGAATATTATGAATGGAGAGCGTAAGCAACGAAGAAAGAAAATTGAAACAAAAAAAGACATTTTGAGACAAAAAAAGGCGGATGAAATTTCTTGGACACATAATGAGGAAGGAAGGCTTGGAGAGTTTTACACTCATGGGACATATCGAAGCAATTATGAGCAAGGGGAGACAGAGGGCGATCTAAATGGCGGAGTTGTGTAAATGGATGGTGATATGCGGGATAAGAGGTTTGGCAAAAGGGATAAAAGATGCTAAAAGTTACAAGGGGTATGAGGTTGTAGAGAACCAAGGTCACCCACGGCCTGAAGGGATACGGCTCATTGAAGAAGAAATTGTCTGAGGTTTTCGATATAGAAGCGAATACAGTTTAATCTTTGTTCTTTCACACTTTTTCTCTTTCTTCCTATCCTTTCTATCTATCTTCTCACCCCGTCTCTCCTTCTCTCTCTCTCTCACTCTTTCTCTCCCTGTCCCTTCTCTCTCTTCCTATCCTTTATCTCTTTCATTCTTTCTCTCTTTTCTTTCTCTCTTCTTGCCTTTTCTCTTTTACCCCCCTCCAGTTTCTCTCACTCACTCTCTTTCAGCTTTTCTTTCTTTCTTTCTTTCTTACCGTCCTTTCTCTTTCTCACTTCTCACTTTCTCTCTCTCTTCTCTCTCTGTCATTCTCTTTTTTCTCTCTTCCTACCCTTTCTATCTATCTTTTTCTCTTTTTCCTCCCTAGTTATATTTTATTTTCTCTCCTCTTCCTCCCTTTTCTATCTTTCTTTTATCACCCAGTTTTTTTCTTTCCCTCGCTAATTCATTTTTCTCTTTCTCTTTTCTTTCCTTTGCCTCTCTCTTCTCCCTATCTCTTTTCCTCTATCTCTTGAAAATCTATTTTTCTCTTCCTGTTCCTGTCCTACGTAGTCTTTCTCTGTTTCTAAATTTATGATCTCACCCAGTCTCTCTCTCTCTCTCTTTTCTCTCTCTCTCATTTCCATTTCTTCTCTCTTTCTTCCCCTCTATCCTCCCATTTTTTCATTTTCAGTCTTTCTCTCCTCCTCTCTTCATTTCTCTCTCTCTCTTTCACTCAGTCTTTACTCTTTAATATTCTTTCTTTCTTTTCCTCTCTTTCTCTCTATCTTTAGTGTATTTTTTTTTCTCTCTCTTTCATTCTCTTCCACCCTCTCTCTCTCTCCAGTACATTTTTCTCTCTCTTGTTTTTTTCTCTCTTTCTTCCCCTTGTCTGGTTTTCCCAGTTTTTCATTTTCTCTCTCTCTCTCTGTCGTCTCTCTTCTCTTCCTAATTTCTCTCTCTGTTCCTACTCTTTATCTCTATCTCACCCAGTCTTTCTTTTTCTCTCTCTTTCGCTCTCTTCCTACCCTCTCTTTCTCCTCACCTTTTCTCTCTCTTGCTACCCTTTCTCTCTCTTTCTTCCCCTTACTCTCTCACTCCCAGTTTTTCAAATTTCTCTCATTTCTCTCTCTCTCTTTCCTGTAATTTTCTCTCTTTGACTCAGTCTTTTCTCTCTCTCTCTCTCTTTTCCCTCTTTCTCTCTATCTCACCCTTCTTTTCTTTTTCTCTCTCTTTCGTTCTTTCCTACCTCTCTCTCTTCTCTCTTTCTCTCTTTTCTCTCTCTTTCTCTCTCTCTCTCTTTTTTCACTTTCTCTCTATCTCTCTCTCTTCCTGTAATTCGTCTCTCTTTGACTCTCTTCCTACTCTTTCTCTCTCTCTTTTCCTACTCTTTCTCTCTGTCTCACCTAGTCTTTCTTTTTCTCTCTCTTTCGCTCTCTTCCTACCCTCTCTCTCTTCCTACCATTACGCTCTCTCTCTCTCTCTCTCTCCCAGTTTTTCACTTGCTCTCTTTGTCTCTGTCTCTTTCTTCCCACCTTCTCTTTCCTTCTCGTCCACTGATGACTCTATCGTGTTTATTGACGGTGCTGATGTTATTATTTTACTTTGTTTGTCTGATTGGGCCCGCTAAGACGACGGGATGATCCCCTTTTATACCGCGATAACCTTATCTTTTCCCCGGGGGTAGGGAACTGCGAATAGCAAGTTTCCTTTTACCCATCCAACACCAACCCCGTCAGCTACCGTGTCCACTGACTCACACAACACAATTGTGAAAGGCCCCAGTAAAGGATACTGATTGTTTTGATAAGTGATCTGCTCAAATTGCCGGTCCAAATAGGCAGAACGTCATTCGAACAGAAACATCGATGAAGACTTTGCTTGCTTCTTTGTAAGTTCATTTTAAAAGGCGTATTTGCTTTCTGTCAGCTGATCATAGCCTGTTAGACTGACACCTGGAAGGATTGGTCCCCAAACAAAACAAAACCACAAAAATAAATTATGTGGGTGATATAGAATAGCATTTAATGTAGCTGCTAAAGTGCAGGTTGAATAAAATACAGAACGTTAGAATCTGTATCGTTCCAAGTATGTGGTGAAAACATCTCGGGTTCGAATTCCAGTCTAATCCATCTAATTAACTGCTATCAACACTATGTCACCTGCGTATCTTATGCTGTTAAGATTTTGGCCGCCAATGATGAATCATGATAGAACTTTTAATTTTCTCCGAATTGCCTCGTTAAATTAATCCGAATGGAACTTGTGTTGAAGATAAGCAGGTCGTCCTTACGGAAAGATTTCAACATCGGCGGAGACGAGAATATTACGAGAATATATGCTGAACAGTTTGGGATGAGGTAACATCCACAGCTTGATTAGCGAGATCATAGAAAAGGTGTATCTGATACAGATGTTACTTGTTAAAATGTTTTTTGTTTTTTTTTGACGATTATACTTTCCCTGTTCTTGAAAATTCAAAGTTACTTTTTTTTCAGAATTATTATTGATTGATTGGTATGCTAAACTGAAATCTGTTGCTGATGTCCAAATAAGGTTTAGAACTCATTAAAATAAAGGAATTGCATGTCCAATTGGTTGAAAAAGATTCAAAAAAAGGTTCTGTCAATGGTAAGCCATAATCTGACACAGAGTTTATAAGTGAAGAAAGTTTATTATCTGTTATATACACCCATGTGAAAATTAATTGAAACAACTGCATTATTTCCCTTTCTTTCGCCATACGGTCAGTTTTAGATCAACTGGATTTATAGGGTGTCATCATTTTCTATTTTTTCCTCAGATTAGGTCATTTGCAGCGATGTGCAGTAATATGAATGTATTTTCGGGATGTATGATGAAATTTGTTTGGCCTTAAAAATATCGCGTCATCCGTGATTGCTTCAGATTTTTATCACACCCAGACACTATTGTCTCAGCTGTCAATTAGTTGTCCTACGGCTATTGTCTGCGATGGACGTTACTCCAAGGGAGCCTACAAAAATTGTAGCGCTGCACGAACACGCTGGCAAGCCTTACCAGTGAGCAAATCAAAGTATTATAGATTGGCACGGAAACTCTCCTGATTTAAATCCAATTGAGAATCTGTGGTCAGTCTGCAAGGAATGGCTTTCTTTTCTTTGTTTCTGTTGCTTCAATTCTCTTCTTCATCTGTGAGGAAATTGTACAGCATTCACTGCCATACAGGACGACAGATATCACGTAACAGTTCTGTACCCTTTTCTTTGTTCCTAACGAAATTTTTCTCTTTCTTAATTCTCTGCTTAGTTTTTGGAAGGCATCTTTGACTAACCCAACTAAGTCTTTGGATCTCAGTGCCACAGTTTCGGTCTTCTGGTAGAACACTTCCAGATATTTAAATTTCTGTACTTGTTTGATTTTAGTATCCCCGATTTGTAATTAGCATTTTGGGTTCACCTTTTTGTTGATAACCTTCATTATGTCTTCTTTTAGTTTATAGTTAGTCCTTTCTTCTCGCTTTTCTTCCCTACCTTCTGTAGTTTTTGTAGTTTCCTTTCCGTGTCTGCTATCAACACTGTGTCATCTGCGTATCTTATGTTGTTAAGATTGTGACCGCCAATAATGAATCCTGGGAGAACTTTTAATTTTCTCCGAATTGCCTCGTTAAATTAATCCGAATGGAACTTGTGTTGAAGATAAGCAGGCCATCCTCACGGAAAGATTTCAACATCGGCCAAGACGAGAATATTACGAGAATATCCGCTGAACAATAACATTGGGAAATATTGGCTGAGATTGGGCTTCGCAAAAATCGAGCCAATCTCGACCATTCACGGAAGTCTTAAATTCACAGAACATTTTTTTTAGCGCCAAAACGTTCAGAAATTGTGCGAACTTAGCATTTTTACTCGATTTCACAATGTCCAAAAAATAGGCGTTATCACAAAATACTAATGAATTTCAGTTATTGGTCTAACTTATTAGGAGAACAAATCTTTAGATCCTGTTTGACTTGACTAAGATTTTAACCAAATTGATTTTATACCTCCTAATTCAGGTCAGACTTAATTTAAAGCCGGGAATCTGCACCATACCACACAAGCACGAGAACCCAGTTATGGCTGTCAGACAATTTATGCGAACACATCACTCCTTATTACTGGCAACCTAACTTACCAGACTACCACGACCTTATTATGTGTGGAACGAATTTGAACGAGAGACTCCAAAAATTCCTTGTAGCACCAAAATTTGAAATGAAGGCATGAATTATGGAAGCATTCACCAATTTAAACAAGGAGACCGTCCAGAATAGTTGCAGGAGATTCCAAAGTCGTCTGGAGGCCATGGTTGAAGCCAATATGTAATTTTGGTAAATGTATCTGTTAAAATGATATTTCAGCCTTATTTTTATTTTTGTGCAATTTAGACGACAATTCATCCATCGCACCCTATATACATACATACATATATATGTGTGTGCGTGTGTGTGTGTGTGTGTATGTGTGTATATGTGTGTTGCTAGTTCCGCTGCTAGGAAAGTTGATTCACTGAGTTGATCTCGACAGATATTATCTCTAGAATCTATTTTACATATTTATAAGTTTAAAATTTGACCATGCTTTGGATATTGCTGCCACATAGGGTCTAGTGCTCCTGATATATATATATGTTTAAAGATACTTGATAAAATCCAAAGAAGAATCTACAATGGTCCTGACCTGGCACCCCGGCTTCACTCACTTTCACGCCGTCGTAATGTAGCTTCTCTCTGCTTTTTTCTATAAATAATTTCACGGTAATTGTTCGGGCAAACTTTCCTCTATAGTAAATAGACTCGATGAATTTATGCGTAGTACTAAATTGGCATCAAGGTCTCATCCATTTCCAACGGAACTAGCTAAGATAAAACCGTAAGTTTTATGCTAACAATTCCTTTTACAGCACTTCCCGCCTGGGAAACACACTTCCAGCTTCTTGGTTTCCAGCCAAATTTGATCTTCAATAATTAAATTGCAATCTTAATCGTTATCTACTGTCAGCTTGATGTCACTTCTTTTATTGTTCACTCTCTTTAACCCTTTGAACCCTGCGTTCCTGAACAATTTTAACCCTTCTGCCTGAGCACTTGAGTCAAAATTCGCAAATAATTGGTATGTGATGGTTCACGGTAGATATAAAAACAGTTACAAATGTTTACCCACCGTTCAACCGGTAGCTGGGCATTAAGTCATTTTTCTCTACCGCTGTTTAACCGGCGGCTGGGAATTACGTCATTTTTCTCTACCACCGTTCAACCGGTGACTGGGCATTACGTCATTATTCTCTGCCACCGGTAAAGCAGTGATCAGGGCTCAAAGATTTAATAATGTTTTTTTTTTTTTTTCTTATTCTTTCCCACTCAGTAACCCGTTGTGTCTTAGTGGCTTTATTGCCTTGTTTGGAGTGAAATCATTAAAAAAAAAAAGAAAGACTCTCAGTCCCATTAGCGAACTTCCAGTGAATTGTTTTTTTTCGGCTTCTTGCTTTGATCCTCAAAAAATGTAAATGCAATGTCAATCATTATCTTCTTTTTTCTTAATTCCTGTTTTTTTTCTCCCTCTCTCTTTAAT